TGTCATCTCTGTGCTTTTAGATATTTTAAAATGTTAAGCTTTTGTACAAGTGCTTGCATGTTCTGTAATTCACTGAAAGAATTCTACTAATTTTGTTCCTGTAGTTATATTAACATAATCAAAGGTATAGAGAAAATTTTTATTGTTAAAATAGTATGGAATTAAAATATTTTATGTAATTAGACTGAAATTTAGCAATGGGAAAATGATACTCTTAATCACTAAACATCAGAACCATCATATATATTTTATTTTAAAAAAGTAGAGTTAAACAACTTAGAATGATAGTTTAATTTCACCCGCTCATTTATTGATACACCACGTATTTACTGAACACACTTTGTACATTAAATTTGTGAACTAAGCATTGAAGAGTCAAAGCTAGTCTTCATTTCCTGCTTTTTCAAGAGACACAGTCTTCTTAAAATAAGAGGGCAGAATATACTGAATGTAGTAATAGAGCTACACACTATGCAGAAGGTAGTGTGAGGAAATGGTGCTCCATACTATCTGAGAGGATCAGAGAAAGACTCAGACAGGGCAGGAAAACATATTTGCAAAACCATAATCACAGATTTAGTCCAGTTCTAGCTGAAGATTTCAGAGAGTGGCGTAAGTTTGAACGATGATCCAGTTTATCCATTGAACCAACCCTTAGTAGTGTTAAGTATCCCGAACAGGTCTGCACATGGCGATAGGAGGGTGTGGTCAGGGCTGTGTCCCTCTCACCGGAACTCAGGGCCTATGACAGAAGCAGACAGGCAATGAAGGGAGAAAATAAGATCCAGCTGAAAGTATTAATAGATGTCCAATTCTGAGCAGGAGATGTTCTGTGGAATACTTAAGCCACAACTTCTTAGAGGCAGATGAAGAATGAGAGCTAGAGTTTTCAGGCAGAGGAAGAGCAAGTTCCTGAGGTGTGTGCTTATACTGGGAGAAGCTAGGGTGCAGTGAATGAAGAGGGACGTGGGAGTCCCACAAGGCCAGCTCCAGTGGGAATCCCAGGAGTTATAGGAAAGCCTCGGATGGTGCTCCAAGCCCAGTGGGACACTATTGACAAGTGCTGAGCAGGAGAATAGAGCCACAAAATTGACATTTCGAAAAGATTATTCTGGCTTTAGTATCTTTGAGAAACTCTAATGGCAACAAGGAGATAAATGACAAGCCGATCATGTTGCTTGCAACAGGAGGTAGAAGTTGTAGCTGAGCCAGGGGTAATAGGAGTAGAAATGAAGAGAGGGGGAAACTTGGAGATGAGTTCAGGTGTGAAAAGATTTCCTGTTCCCCAGCAGTAGCTAGTGGGCCTTTTCTTTGCGGAACTCCCTTTCCCTCCCTCTGAGGACACTGGCAGGCTCACATAGCATTTCTGCACACAGATGCCGGGGGGACCGCAGGTTGCAGTTTTAGCTCAGAAAATTACTAGCTGTGGGACTGGGTGCAAAGCACGCCAAGCTTCAGTGTTTTTCAGTGTGAAATGGGAATGATAAAAACACCACATGCAAGATTGCAGAGATTAAATGAACAAGTCTGTATGAGGCCTGGGCACGGGGCCTTGACACAAGTCGGTGCTATGCATGTGCTGTCACTGCTGGCTTTGAGATAGATGTTTGCTAGAAGCTGTTCAAATATTGATGAGATTTCCCGCTTGGCTCACAGAGAACTTTAGATCCTTAAATTAACGGACCAATGAGCTTTTAGTGTTCTTCCACGTTACTGAATCCTTTCTGATAGCATATGCATTTACATATTCAGAGAATTTCTATTTTTGAAATCATTGTGCACATGGGTCTTTGTTCTCCCCACATCTTGTCACAGCAGGGGATCTCAATGCTGATGAAGGCTTTGTCATCACTGATAACATTTTGGGCCAAAGCGTGGCAGCTATATTAAACACCATTTATCATAACAAACCCTTATCATCTTAATGTGTAAGATATTTTGAGGGATTGTTATCAGTTTAAGCTCTTGAAATTTTCTTTTAATCAAAAGCAGGTCAGAGGAGTTGAGCCAATGATTTCATTTTGTCTGCAACCGAGGAGAAACCTAAATGTTTGAAGGCTTCCGTGAAGACTCTAGATCAGAGCTGCCCGTAGCACATAGCTGCGAGAGCCCTGATAAGAAAAGTCCCTACTCATCTACATTTATGTACCCTCCTCCCTCTGCCAAGAAAATGAAATTATTCTAGGTGCCTGGCAGGGAACAAAAGCTTTGAACAAAGCACAGAAGCCGACAGGAGCAGCCGTAACTCCTTGCTGGGATCTTCGAAGCCAGATAAGAATTGGTTTCACAAAAACAAGCCAGTTCTCTCTCCTTTTATCCTCTTGCAATGCCTGGATCTCAATAATTAAATCCTTGGCTAAGTAATTATAAGAGCAGAGAACAAATGCATGCTACATCGAGGCAGCAAAAAATCTGAATATTAGGCCTGCTTTGTAAAGACAGTGAGGAAGTTTATTACTTTAAATGCATAAAAATAGCTTACAAACTAGACTCCACTCATGAGGAGCACTCCAAAGCTGTAGACTTTGCAACAAATGGAGCTGAATAATAATCTTTCCTTATAATACAGACTGTTTTTAGCATATTAGAGGGCAACTTGTCTTTCAGACAACATCTCAATTATTGTTTCAGGATTACCCATCCTACACAGCCTTTGGCCAAAATCAGTATGCACAGTATTACTCAGCGTCAACGTATGGAGCGTATATGACATCAAATAACACTGCTGACTGCACGCCACCATCAGCGTCCACTTACCAGCTGCAGGAGTCTCTCCCCGGGCTTACTAGCCAACCAGGTACTGATCTGTACTCAGCTGAAATGCTTCTAAATGTTCCGAGCTATTGAGTCACAAAAAGAAAGTGCACACGTCAATAAATGCCTGAAAGTTCCAGATAGTGGTGCTCGTGTGTAATCTGCATTAGTCTCCCTGCTATAAAATGAAGCTTTTCTGGCTTTCAAATGAAAATCATTTCTTTTGAGGTGTGGAACAATGTAAGAAACTTTAAGCTCAAATCACTGCATAGGTAGCGATAGTGGTAAATAGAATTTTTGTCGGACCCAATCTTTATTTTCTGAAATATTTCACGAAACAGTAAAACTTGTAATTCTATCTACTCAGACTATAGCTATTAACATTTCCTCAGTCCTGAGACACTGTCTTTGCTTCATCCCTGTCTCCAGTGGATCTAGTCAGTCAACATTCCTACATTCCTAAGATTTATAGGATTGGTAGCAGGGAGCTTAACATCTTTGACTGATCAGTGCATATTTAAAATTCCCCAGTAGTTTTCCTTACCTTAAACTTGCTTTATTCTTATTAGAATTGTAGTTTCTGTGCATATTTGGTGCAACTACAATATCTGAAAGCAAGATTAATAGAGATTCACCCCAATCTCAGTGAAAATCCAAATTTAGTTTTTTGGATAGATTGTAAAGGTGACTTTATACTTATAAGGGAAGGTAAAGGCACTATAATAGTTAAAAACCATTTTGGAAAATAAAAGTTGGAAAGCTCACAACTTCTGAATCTAAGATATACAGAAATATAGTAATCAAAAAAGCCCAGCATTACTGAAAGGATTGGTAGTGAGAGCGATGCAAAAGAATGGAGAGAGAGGCTGGAGACCGACTCATACATGTGCGGGAGAATTGATTTTTACCCAAGTGCCAAGAACATTGGAGAAGCGATACACTGTCCCAAAAAAAGGTGCTGGAAAATCTGTGTATCCACAAACACAGGATAGAAGACTCTCACTCAAAATTCGTATACTAAATAATTAAAAATGATTTCTAAACCTGTAGATGAAAACTAAAAGTCAAAAACTTTTAGAAGAAAAATGTGAAGGAATTACTTATGACTCTGGGGAAGACGAAGATTTTGTAGATTCAATAATGAAAAAAAGAAGAGAATAATAAGAGAACAAAATAAATTAGATTTCCTATAATTATGAACTCTTCCTTGAAAGATAGTGCTGCAAGAAATATAAGACAAGCCACTGCTTGGAAGAAGTTATTAAAATATTCCTATCTGATATAGGACTTATAGCCAGTAAATATATTATCAAAAATCAGTAAGAAAAAAATGAGATTGAAAGTTTTTGCAAAGGCTATTGATATGTTCAGGTGTATTCTTCTGCCCTCGGTTATTTGCAAGATCCAAATTTATCTGTGCTTTTGATCCAGCTGTGGAAGAGAAAGAATAGAGGGAAACATGGTCTACATAGTGTAAATTCTTTGTAATTGGACACATAGGCACAAGGTGATTCAATGATTAAATAGTTCATTGTTGAGTGCCTAGTAAATCCCAGCATTGTGCTGGACACTCATGTTTCAGCCATGAGTGAAGTCTCTGCATACTGTTCGATTCCTTTAACAATCAAGGCAAAGATCGAGCAGTTGCATATAATGGTGGTGAGCCTTTACGAAGGGAAAGGGTGAGGCAGTATAGCAAATGTTAGCAAGT